CCTAAGTGGCTGTGGCAACAGGATACTCTCTTTTCTGTCTCCCAGTGACTCCAGATCAATTTTTATTTTGGTGATGACAAGCTAAAAAGAAGCTATTTCTCAATGTCCCCGTGTCAGATGCAGGCTGGGCTCTCCTGAGCTTGCAGCCACCCTGGTGGGAACTTCTCCAAGGGAAAGTTGGGTGAAAAGCTGGCACTAAATAGCTGGCACTAAATAGCCTCAAATCCATCATGTTCTCCCTGAGCCAATGTGGGACAGAAAGAAGTAAGATTAATAAATAATTCTTTGCCAGAGTCCTCTCAGACTTGCATAGCAGAAAGCACGGTCCTCGCGTAGGCACTTTGCTGAACATAAGCTCACTGGATGATAATGTGATTAACATTTGTAGCTGTGCTGGCTCAGATAAGGGTAATTAAATCTCACGCTTCAGGGCATAAGCTAATCACTTGTGGGGTCATTTTATATATATATGTTTACCCCTTCATGAATATACTTGCCCGATTGCTGCAATGCAGACTGTTTATCTGCTGTCGGTGGTGGGTGGTGGCAGGAAGCCCCGTGGCAGCTGGTGCTTGGATTCACAGTGGGAGTTGTACAGGTGCAAGGAGGGTCTCCAAAAGGGTTGGTGGGCACAGTCCATCCTCAAGGCCATGTCCTTTGGGAGCAGAGTGCGAAGGGAGGACGCCACAGCTGACTGAGCCGAGGAGGAGAAGCTGCTCCTTCACCCAGTGGTGTTGCTAACAGGAAAATGAAATGAATGATCAGCTACCAGCTGACCTTTCCCTACTGCAGGCCAGAATTCCACTGCAAGCTTGGCCCTAGCTTTCAGCATCTCAGCAAGGAGATGCAGTACCCCAGGGTCAGGATCGTCGTGCCATGGACCAGAATCTGCCAGCCATGGCCCCATCCAGGAGGACCACAGGACTCCACCTACTCCCCAGTGTCTGCCTCAAGCTCTCCTGCTCTCCCAAAAGCCCATTTTGCTCAGGGGTGCTGTGGGACACTGGTCCTTTTTGGAGGCTTCCCATGGGCTGTGTGAGATGCTGCCAATGCTGCGGAGAGCAGCAATGCAGCCCTGCACTGCACCAAGCCACATGACCTTGGGGGTGGTGTTTAAGGTCAGAGTCCCCAAAAACATGGCTAGTTTGTGTATCTGGTGTCAAAAGAACAGGAGAACAGTGGGTTCTCACTGCCTGAGCCCCCATCCTGGTACCTAAGCAGCTGTTACCCCACCAGCACCCTTGGACAGGGGAGCTGCTGTCAGTTATCTGTGTCACCAGAGGTAACAGGCATGTTTTATGACTCCAAGGTTACACCAAGTGTCCGTCAAGGCCAGGATTTTGAGCTCAGCTTAATCCAAACAACTGTCTTCCTCCTCAGCCCACCCTGAGCCGACCCTGCTGGTACCAGGACTCGCTAAAGCCTTTGGCTATTTGACCTTTCCCAGCACCAGACTCATTTATATGGAAGTCAGTTCCCTCCAAGGCAGGCACGTACTCTGGGTTGGATGCTGTTGGGGACCAGGGCTGAGAAAGAGAAACTGCATTTCCTTGGTTAATGACTCGGTATCTGCAAAATGCCCCAGGAGAAGCTCAGATCCCCAGCAGGAGAACACTGTGCCCTTGGGTGGATTCTGGAGAGAGCGGCGTGCTCGCTGCTCCACTGAGATCTGGCAGCTGCTTCCTGAGTGTTGGGGAGATGCTGGGAGAGCAGAACAGGAGACAGGAGGATGCTGTAGGCCTAGCAGGTTTGCCTGGCTCCCCCCTGATCCCTTTGGAATAAACCTGGCTCCATGATTGGTAGGAACTTCCAGGTCATGAAGGCATTGCTGTGCCTCTTGGAAACAACACGGAGCCCCAGGTGTGAATCCCACACCTGGTCCTGCTCCTGTGCAGAGGTGGCTCATCAGGGAGCAGATGGAGGCACGTGCACAGGGATGCTGTCACATCCTTCCCCTTGTCTGTGTCCCTGTCCCTCCCACAGAGCCCGATGGCTTTGATCAGAGCTTCCAGAGAGCACAAAAGCCTGGCAGGAACTCTTTTTTTGTGCCTCCACAGCGAGCAGCGCGAGAACCACGGGTTTATTATTAAGGCCCCGTGGAAGAGGAGCTGCAGCCCTCTGCCGGCTGCAGATCCATGGAATGCCATGCCTTGGGCAGCTCTGGCAGAAGTGTCCCTTGCCTGGTGTGTCCCCATCGCCTGTGCTCCTGGTTTGCCATCCTGCACCTGCAGAGGCAGCGGAGGCTCTGCAGAGGGTCTGTGCTGTGCCCACACCCTGCACCCAGCGAGTGCTCCCCCTGCATGGCTTTGGCTCATCCCTTCCTTGGGATGGCAGGGAGTGGGGGGCTGGAGGTGGTGAGAGGGGAAAGAGATGCAGGAAGGGTTTGGTAGCAAAAATGCATCGTGGAAGTGCTCCTGAAGTTCTGCCTTGTGCTGCTCCTCCTTTGTTTTACAAGAGCATGCTGTGGGCACATGTTGATGTGTGTGCCCACACCTTGGCTCCCACTTGCTCCTTGTTTTTCCTTGACTTTTCAAGTGCAGAGCAGTTAACCAAATGGATTGCAGAAGCAGCCCTGCCTGCAGAGTGCAGCTGTTGGGTTACTACCTTCTCATAGGGGCAGCTGCTGTGTGTGGGTCCCTTTGAGCTGGGAGTGTCTCCTCCAGCTCCTCCCTCCTTAGCTGCCCACACATGGACCACCAGCTCCTGAGGCTGTCCTGCCTCAAGGATGAGCCAGACTCATGCCCAGGGATAGCTGTTTTATGGGCTCATGGGCAGGTGTTGGTGAGATGCTCCAGGTGGGTTGAGAGGGGGAAGAGGAGACGCTGCTTCTTTGCATCTTCTCTGCCCCATGTTGGGGTGCAGGGGAGTGGGTGAACACAAGCTTCTGGTGTTTGTTATGCCATGTGTTTTTGTCCTCTGGGGCTGAGCTCTTCTGGCACTGCCAGGTCTGTCTCTTCATGTGAGAGAACACTTGGGAAGGTGCCACCAGCCAGTGACATTGTCCTTTTGGGCATCCCCTCTTGGTCCTCTTGGAGGTGGGATGTGGGACTGGGCAGGCAGTGACCCCCCTGGCCTCTGTGCTCACTTCTGGTGCAGGGTATATGGGGCTGAGCCATCAGGGAGGGGACAATCCCCATGCTCCAGGATGGCTGGCAGGCTCAGTGCAGCTGCATCCCGCTTTCCCAGTGCAGCATCACGCTTCTCCATGGCTTTGGGATTTGGCAGAGCTGATGTTTTCCCTGCTTTGCTAAGGCAGAGCAGCAGAGACTCCAACACGCTCCTTGCCCTATTCCCTCCCGACATGCCTAATTTTGCAGCCCCATTTCCCACCACCCACACGGCTCCCGACTCCGGCAGTAATTGCAGTTCCCCGTTTGCATCGCTGAGACAGCGCAGGGCTCAGAGCAGCAGAACGCTCCACCACGGGGATCCCACACCCAGCAGGATCAATAGGAGATTTGTGAGCACGGTGTGAGCAAGAGGCTTTTTCCCTCAGACAGATAAAGCACTTTCTCTCTGGCAGTGCCTAAAATGAAGCTCCTGAGACACAATCAGGTGCCGACAGCTTGGAGGTGGGGGTGTAGCAGGAGGCAGCTGCTGCCTGTGCAGCCAGGGAATACTGGCATGGTTTGGGTTGGAAAGGACCTTGCTAGTTCCATGGGCAGGGACACCTGCCACTAGACCAGCTTGCTCAAAGACCCATCCAGTCTGGCCTTGAACACTTCCTGGACCCCACTCACGTGTTCCCATCGTCAGCTTCTCATCCCCGTGCTTCTCACCTGCCTCGGGGCTGGGAACACCCCCAGGCTGGTTGCACAGTGCTGTGGCCTCTTGCTCACCTCTCATTCAGGTTGCACTGGCCGTATCCTGGCCCCGGAGCAGTGGGAGGACCCTGGGGAAGTGTTCCACGAATTCAGCATCTCACTGCAGTGGGACTCATGGAAATAGCCAGGGTGTCCCCACTTGCGAGATGATCATGGGGTGGTGGAACATCCCCCCAGGGAACGGGCTGTGAGGGGTAAAATCAGGGAAGGCGAGTGAAACCAGCTGCTGTTTAACAGAAAGTCTGTTCCAAAAAACACAGCTGGGGCAGGCGGTGCCAGCCTGAACCTTCCCCTGGCTCCTGGGGCTGACCTGCTTTTGCAGGAACCTCCCTTTCTTCTGCTCCGCTGCCCTTTTGTCTCCGTACCTGGAGGACGTGGAGCCTCCTGGCCTATATTTTGGCTCTAAGATCAATATTTAAAATCCCCCCTCCTGTTTCCTTTGCGCAGGCGTGAGGCGCTTTCGGTTGCCGGGGGAGGCTCGTCTCCCAGAGACCTGTCTGTTCACCATTTCAAATAATTTCCCCGGTACCGTTGTTCTAGAAACAATTCATTAGGGGCCTATTATACAATGTTATACCTGCCAAGGTTAGAAAAGATCCTGCATGTGTAGTAAAATTGCACTGTGAGCTGTACACGAGAGTGGGTTTTTTTGGTGCCTGTCTGTAAAAGTGCTTTTTGCTCCTTTTGGAGAGCGAGTCGTCGGGGGGTGAAGCTGTGGGGTGATGGTGCTGCCTGCTGTGTGGAGCCCCAGCAGGGCTTGGTCTGGTGCCTGTTGACTGTCCTTATCAAGATGCTGTAGGTGTGGAAAGCGGCAGTTTTGAGGTGTGGCAGCTGTTCCTCTCTCCTCACCACTCTCTATCCCCTCTCCAGTGGCCCACTTGGAAAATCTGGGCCAAAACAGTAGCTGGGTCCCCAGGCTGAGAGAAGTTCCATGCTTCTGGAGTGCTAATGGAGCTGTGGTCCCTGGGGAGCTCATTAAACATCACCTCAGAGGGCTGCACAGCCAGGGACGGGTTGCAGCGGGGGCTGCAAACCCCATCCCTGGTAGGGCTCCTGCTCAAGGAGATGTCCCTCACCCTCCTGAGCTGCCTGTCCCAGTGCCACTGGGGCAGCTCAGCCCTGCTGCCTGGCCGTGCCCTGCATCGTTGCTTTGCAGTTGTCTTTTTCTCTCTGCAGGGAGAATAACTTCATCAAGGACTTCCCACAGCTGGCTGACGGGCTCCTGGTGATCCCGCTGCCCGTGGAGGAGCAGTGCCGTGGTGTCCTCTCGGAGCCCCTTCCCGACCTCCAGCTTCTCACTGGTATGAGCTGCCCCCAGGCTCAGTGCCCCTGGGGCAAGTGCAGAATTAAGAACCCCTTTTCCCACCCTGGATCCCAGCATGGTTGCTGAGAGGAATCAGCACCAGTGGCATCTCAGGGTCCTTTGTGCCATCCCTCCTGTGTGCCTGGGGCAGGAATAGTCTGAGGGCTGTGTGAGTCCACCCCGACACAGATGGCAGCATCTCTGTCCCCATGAGCTCCCGGCAGCTGCAGTGCTGGTCCTGCCAGCAGCCCGAGGACCCCGTGGCATCACTGCCAAAGAGGTTTCTGTCCCTCCACCCATCCCATTTCTCACCCCTCGCAAAGCAGTTGCCTGGTGGGAGCATTAAGCATTCCCCAGAGCGTGGTCAGCAGTGGCTCTTCCTTTGCAGGGGACATCAAGTACGACGAGGCAATGGGCTACCCCATGGTGCAGCACTGGCGGGTCAGGAGCAACCTCTACAGGGTGAAGCTCAGCTCCATCACCCTCTCTGCAGGTGAGGGATTCCAGGGGCAGGGAGACGTGTGTCTGTGTGGGTGGGTGGTGTCCATCTGCCCCAAGCATCCCACTGACATTTCCCACCTCCAGGGTCTGCTCCCAGCGCCGCTGCAGAGGCAGGCAGAGAGATTTTCCTCCTTTTTACAGGGTGGAAACCTGAGGCAGGGACTTTGTGCGGCTCAGCCAAGAGCTGAGGTCAAAGTCAGGATGAAGCCAATAAGCAACACTGTGGGGAGGATTCGTGGGGGGTGGCTGTGTGTACGTATATGTATGAAAATCAGCAAGTACTTGAAAAAATGTGGTATCAGAAGGACCCAAAGCACTTGTAAAAGCAGGTCATATTAAGCCGGGAGTTGCAGATGAAGAAGGGGTGGGTGGGAGGATCCTGCAAATGTCAAAACATTTCACTTCCACGTTTTTATAGCTACACATTTTGTTTCAGAAATGCTGAAACATTTTGTTGCGACCTGAAATGTTTTGCCTTTTCATTTCAAAATAGCATTTTTTATTTAAAAATCAACGAGTTCTTAAATGGAGAGAGAAAGAAAAAAAAAAAGATTTAGTGCTAACAGGCTGCACAGCCCCAAAATGAAATAACCTGCTCAGAGCCAAAAAAAATACTTGGGTTCAGCTCAAAATGAATTCTTCTGGCTTTTTTTATTAAACCAACCTTCCCTTTCAATAAACCAAGCAAGCAACCAGCCAGATAATCTCATTTTGGTGACAGTTATGACGTATTTTCTTGCAGTATGTTTTCTGTTCCACCACTGAACCAAAACGATGATATCAGCCATTCTAAATGATGCCGAGGTGCTGTGGAGTCACCAGTGCCTCCAGGATATTTCACCTCCACAGAGCAGTGAGGGTCCGTGTCCTTGTCCCATGCCAGAGGTCCCCGCTGTCTCCATGGATGTTGCTCAAGCCCCAGCCCTTGCACACCCATGGAGCTGCCATCAGCCCAGCCCCGTGTGTCCCTCTGGGCTGTCTCCAGCTCTCCCAAAAATAGTTATCAGTTGTGCTGGGTGTGTGGACTAGAGATGGAACACCTCTGGTTATGGATACAGGCAAGGAAAGGCCAAGCACATCCTCTGGGGAGAGTGTTGATGATGTGCCACCAGACTGGAGCTGGCAGGAGGGGGTGTGGGGGTGTGCACATGTGTCCACGTGCACATCCCTGTAAAATGCTTTGAGAAATCTCTTAGGGAGAGGAATCATAGAAGGAACTCAGAGCCACAGCCCAGGGTTTTAACAGGTTGTGGATTCCAAAGGATCAGGTAGATGATGGAGGTAAGAGAGGAGGAACTGCACTTTGCACCCACCCAGGGACTTGTATGACCTGAGCAGGGATCCTGTGGGGCTCCTTGCCCTGGGTTGTGGCTACCAGCCCTGCCTGGCCAACCCACCCATCCCCTGCCTCCCTCCCACAGGCTTTGCAAACATCCTGAAGATCCTGAACAAGGACAGCAGCCGGGAGGAGCTGCTCTCCTTCATCCAGCAGTTTGGCTCCCACTACATCGCAGAGGCGCTGTACGGCTCCGAGTTCAGCTGCACCATCCACTTCCCCAGCAAGAAGGTCCAGCAGCAGCTCTGGCTCCAGTACCAGAAAGGTGAGGAGGGCGACGGGAACGGGCAGGGGCACAAATCACCCCCTCTCTCCATGCATTTACCTTCACCATGCTGGTTAGTGGGCTCAAGCAGGAGACTTGTCCCAAACTGAGTGCCCAGTGTCAAGAGACAGTGGCACGTGTCCCTTGGCAGCATCCCTGAGCCAGGCAAACCCACCCTGCCAGCTCCTGCCCTTCAGCTTCCACACTCTGGCTCCATCCTTCCCCAGGGTGACCCCTTCACCACGGTGGCCCCCACACGCTGGGGGTGCTCAGGGTCGGCTGATGGAGATGTGACATAAATGAGCTGTCTCAGAATGGCTTTGTTTTATTGCTTGTGACAATGACAGTCTTTAAGGAAGTGCATTAAATCAATAGCAGACTCATTGTGCTACACCATAAATAACGAGACACATCATTAAACAGGGCAATAAACTTCAGGACTTTGAAGTAATACAATTAGGTTATGTTTATAAAAACTCCCTTATCGCTGTAGCCTTCCATTTGCCAATTCATCTCTCTCCTCTGGGGAGTTGGGGATATTCCCCGGGTCTGATATTTTTCTGTTCAAAAAACATCTGTGGTATATTACAGGGCCCATTGTAGGGCTGATGGTGACAGAGGTCATCAAAGCACTTGAATCCTGCCCTGCAGGTGCTGCCAAGGGCAGCCTCGCTCCATGGAAGCCAGCAAATGGAGATGTGCTCCCACACGCCTCCTCCGTTGCTCCTGGCTCATTTTTTTCCCCTGTTTTCCCGGCGCAGCTCATCTTGTAAGCGTATTTATAACACCCTGTACTCGTTTGTTTGGGTTTTAAATAGTGATAAATGAAGTTTGCCATAGCAATGCCCCCGTTTAGCAGGAGAAAGCGCCGTGGAGGTGGGTTGTTTGCGTACTCGCGATGTTATTAATCATTCGGGAGCGCTCCCTGCAGTCCTGGGGCAAACACGGGTGGTGGGGAGCAGACCTGGAGTGCCCCGTGGTCCCACTGCCATCACTTCAGACACAGGTTTCTCAAGTGATGCTGGGTGGGAATGAGAGGCAGCCACTGCAGTCCGAGCTGGGCATGAGCATTGTTGCTGTTTCATGATGCTGGGCCAGAGGGGACGTGAACGGTGGCAGTGCTTGATCTGGTGGTGAAATATCTCCCGTTCCCAACCTCTCACCTTCCCCATGGCTGGGGGCAGCAGTGGCTCCCAGGGCTCAGCCACAAAGCCCCGTGGTGGCACAGGGCCTGCAGTGCCTCGCTGACAGGATGATTTCCATTTTAGTCCATGGTATGCAGCTGGCCAAGGCAGCTCCTCGCTCCACACCCAGCTCCTGCCCACACTCCCAGAGCTGTGCCTGCCCTGTGCTGCTTGCAGGGCTGCCCCAGGGCAGGATCCAGAGCGTCCTTCCCACTGCCTGTGAAGCACCAAAGCACTCATGGGACCCCAGGGATGCCCCAGGGGGTTTGCATGTAATGCCTGGACATAAACTTTTGATTTCTGACTGTGCAGCATTTGGGCACTGGGTGCTGGCTCCGACTTTGTGCTTTGTGTGTGGCTCCGCCTGTGGCTTTGGTAGCTGGTGAGGTGAACTTTGGTGCTGTGGGCAGTGCAGAGGGGACCAGTGCTGTACTTAGCTCTTTGATGGCCACAAAATGCTATTGGAAGAACATCGAGGATGTTCAGGGCTCTTGATGATACCTGGGGAGATCAGCTTGTGGACTTAGAAGGTGTCACAGGAAACCCAGGGCTCTCTGACACAGAAATCCCAGTTAGCCAAGAGAAAGAGCTTGCTGTTCATGATAGATAGATTTTATTCCCTGCTTCTCCACTGATTCACCCTCATTTTGCCAGTGGCATAAGGCAGATCAGAATAAATACCTCCAGCTAGACAGTTCTGGATGCCTTCTCTATTCAGAACAGCTCCGGCCTGCCAGGCTCCCCACTGCTCACCAGCCCATTCCAAACTGTTCAGTGCACACACATATGCATCATCTCTAATAAATACAAAAGTAGGACCAGGATAGCTGTAATTTGTTAGTGAACAAAGCAGGTCACAAGAGGAGGGGAAGAGGAGAGGCTCAAACTAATTGGAACGACACCAACTATGAGAAAAATGCACATCGCAGGGTGTTTGCAGCATCGCACAAAATTATTTTAATATTTTAATCAACTTCATAAATCAATCTCCGGGCCTTAGGAGGAGGCCTCCGCCAATAAAGGCACAATCTGCGCATGAAACCCTAATTGAAAACATGGTTTTGAAGAGAAGACCACGCCGCTGGCAGCTGGGATCAGGCACTGGCTCTGTGCCGAGGCTGGAGCCGCCCGAACGCCGTGCTCGCCGCCGGCACGGGAGCCTGTGACGTGGGTCTGTGTCTGCAGAGTGTTTCCCTCAGCCAAGTGGAGGGGAAAGGGATCCAGCTCTGGCCAGGGACAGCACAAAGTCAGTGCTGCTGTCACTGCTGTCACGAGCAGGTTGCTCTGCCCAGAGGAGTGCCAAGTGTTCCCCTTCCTCCTGCGGGTGGATGAGGTGTGTGCTGGGCGGAGTGAGGTGCCCGCCCTTGTGTCATGGTTTGAGCTCAGAAATCCAAAACGTAGCCCCATACTGTGAAGAAAATTAGCTCTACACCAGCTGAAACCAGCACACCTTGTTCCTAAGGATTTGCAGGAGGGAATCCTGCAAATGAGAGAGTCAGACAGGCTCTGTGGCAGTGCTGTGCACACCGAGCACTGTGTTCTTCCAGGGCAGGCATGGGAGCATCCCCCAGGCTCCCTCCCAGGAACAGCTTTAGTCCGTGAGCAGACCAAAGCAAACTCCAGTTTTATTTCACGTAGAGTGATTAAAAGCCCGTTTTTTGGGGGCTGCTTGCTCTGGCTCTGTGCAGCCAAGCAATGCTTTCACTCATCGAGTGGCCTCCGAGCGGGAACCTTGAGATCGACCCAGCCATTGATCTGTGCCATGGGAGCCCACATCGGTTTTCTCCCCCGTGGAAGGCAGCATTTAACGCTGATGGCACCTCATTAAGTTCGTACCCGTTGTGTGAGCATCTTCGTTTGGCAGCTGGGACACACGTGGTGCCCTCAGCCACGTCCTGCTGTGTGCAAGAATGTGCCAGGCCTGGTGGGATGGAGGGAAGTGGCTTTGTCGTGGCTCCTGTGGTGCCGTGCATTGGATTTCTGGATAAACCAGTGTGGATAACGCCTCAGCATGTTGGCTGCTGCTTAGCAGTGCCTGCTTGGCATCCAGGCTTCTTCCTTTCCCATTCTGTCCCCACAGTCACTAGGCTGGGATGGGCAAAGTGTTGTGAGGGGACACAGCCAGGGCTGCTGGCCAGAATTGGGCTATTCCACACCAACATGCACAGTAGTAAAACTGGAGGTGGAGGCTGGGAGTAACCCCACCACAGAGACTCAGAAAATGTACAGGAGGAAAGAGAATGATCCCTCCATCCAGTAAATCCACCCGCCATGAACCACTTCATTCACTGATAAAAGTTTATCAGAGACGTGGTTACTCCGTGGCCCCTCAGTCTGGCTGGATAAGGAGTAGGAGATGGTTAGGGAAAGGGAAGAGCCGCTCTGATTGCCAAATCTGGCAGCCCCAGTGAGATTTCCCCAAGAGCTGTTCTGTCTTGCTTGTTCCCAGTGGAGAAGCCCAGCTGGGAAGCGGGGAGGGATGCTGATGGGCTCGGGATGTGCTGTGCATAGACAGAGCAGATCCAGAGGGTTTCACTGCCCAGCTGATAACGTTGCTTTAGGTCTGCAGTGCAAGAAATGTTTGTTTTTCTTGCATTTCCTGTGATCTCTATCTAGAGTTTCCTTGGCTAAGGTTCCCTGGCCACACTGGGCACTCAGCAAGCTGAGCCCGTGGCTGCTACAGATGTGAAAGATGTTCCCTCTCTGTAACAGATCATTTATGGAAATAGTCCATGGAGGGGCTGTGTTCTGGCAGGTCCTGTCACAATCCCTAAGGCTTTCTGGCCCCTGCCCTCCCAGGTACTTGCTTCTCTTCTCTTGGACTACATGCCATTAATTGCATTTACCTTTAAGAGGCGACAGTTTTCATGTTTTCTTGTAAACTCAGCAGTTTTGACAAAAGATCTTCTCTTCGTAAATATCCTTATAAAATTAAGAATAGAGCCTGGAACTGCTAAAACAGTAGTCTATATTCCTCTGAGTAGGGTCTGTGGGTCTCTCCTGTCCTTTCAAGGCTCCATTCATCTCTCTTCAGGTCTGATAGTGCCATTAACACAACTAAGATTGAACTAGTCCATGGGAACCTTTAGTTTTCCTTTCCTAGACACAATTAGGTGCATTAAGAAAGCTGTAAGGAGAGTTTTGCATCTGTTAAAGGAGATAATGAGTTTCCCTTATACCTGCTTGGTGAGAAGTAAAGCGTATAGAATTTCCCTGTTCTTGAGATCTGTCCCTATAAACAACCACTCTATTACCTTTGTAACACTCTTACTGGCTTAGTTTATGTCATTATATTTATTTCCAACCCTCAGATTTTGACATTTTGTTCAGAGGAGGTAAAAACAATCTTAACTGGTTGCCGTGAAATTTACTTTAGTCTACAATATGTGCTGTGACTCAGACAGCTAAATGACCTTATGCACTGCTCATTGTAATCCAGAATTGTCAGGCAAGTCGAGTAATTAGTTGTGCAAAATGAAATAACTTTAAATCCTCGCATTGAGTAATGACCCAGAAAAATCACTTAAGCTATACAATACAAACCACTCAAAGCATCTGGCTTAATTTTTATTTTTGTAGCTCTGCCCCCTCTGATTAAGGAACAGGCTCTCCCCCTCATCCCTTTAGGAACCTTAACTCCTGGTTTTGCCCCAGACAATACCCATGGCTTAGTTTTCCTACCCTAAGAAACCAAAACTTGTGATAAAGTGGTGGCAGGGTGGGTCTAACAGCACCACACAGCAGCTGTTCTGCAAGGATGGAATGTGTTTGATAAACCAGCAATTCGCACCAGTTGAAAGTGCTGCTTCCCATCACCTGGGATGAGCCCAAGTGATGAAAGTCTTCACCCAGAGCAGCAAACCCAGAAGGGTGGCAGGACCAGGGGAGAACCTGCACGTGCTGCTGGTGTGCCTGTTAAGGAAACTTCCCTCTCTGACCATCCAGGAGCCTCCCTGGCCATCACAATGCACCACCTGAGCTGGGATCCTTCACAGCTACACCCCCCACACTCACCCAGTCAGACCAGGTTTCCTCACTGGTTCAGCCTCAGGTTTCCCAGAGCAGAGTCTTAAGACATCTGGATCCTTAAAATAATTTAATTATTGTGCAACAACAGAATAACAGCCTGAGCTGGTGCTGCCCAGGAGGGACCAGTGGTCTAAACACAGGGAAGTCTGGGGTCCTTCCAGCTGAGCCCTCAGCTCCTGATGTGTCTCCAGGTGTTCCTCACCTGACCGTGCCTGTCCCCAGGCCCTTTGTTATGCAAAGGGCTGGCAGTTCATGGATGAGCCATGCACACAGGGATGGAACCTTCAGCCAGGCTCCCACGCCCTGTTACCAAGCACTTGGAGCCACTTCAATTGAAGCAGGCCTTTGAAACATCAGGTACTGCCTATGGTGACAAGGAAGATATTGCCCTTGTGGGAGTATCAGAGTGGATTAAGGTTCAAAACCTGAGCATTTGTTTATGAGGTGGGTAGGGAAGTGTCAGGTAGAGTTCCCTGATCTCCTGCCAAGGAGATCAGATTTATCCTGTGCAACCTGAGAAGAGGGGTCCTGTAGCCATTGTGTTCCCAATCTAATCCCCACTGGCTGTAAAATCCAACCTGCCACCAAAGAGAGGAGATGTAGTGTTTTAATAACAAAATGAGCCGTTTGCAATGCACTTTTAATTGGATCAATTTTTCCTTTATTACACAATCTTTAAAAACCAAACACATACGTATGACCAGACAAGCTCTTTCTCCAGGTACAGGAGCCAACTATTTCAACACAATCCTTAATTACTCCTTGTTTGGCAGACGATCACAACACTGTGTGGGGGCACGACAGCAAAAAAACAGAGCTCTGCAAAATCATCTCACAGTCACTGTTGAGAGTTTTGTCAGGGGACATGCAGACCCTGGGCAGGGACAGCAGGTTTCCTTTTTCCCTTTTCTGCCTGAAAGCCCAGACCAGAAGAGCTGCAGGCGAGACACAGCCCCAGGCGCTGATTGCAGTGTCCTGGCCCACCAATGCATCACAGGGTAGTGTTATTTTCCTTAATTCTCCGAGTGAGAAACAGATGACAGACGTTTTGTTTGAACTTTGTAACCAGGAACAGGCTGGGGTAACCAACTGCTCAGTTTGCTGGACCAGCTTTTTATGTCTCTTCAAGCACTCCAGGAAATGTTATTGCTAGTACAGTGTGCTGTTTATTGCAAAAAAAAATATCCATGGGAACAGAAAATGACAGAGGCACGTATTATCACAGATAATATTGCTTCAGTTATTCAGGTCCACGGTAGCTTCCTGCTTGGAGCAGTTCTTGGAAGCAGGAGAAATGTTTAAAAGACATCAGAAGGAGAGGAACTGCCATTGCAATAATTCTGGAAAAATGCCTCCAGTTACAATGTCATTAACTGCAGCACGGCCCAGTAATCGTCCTCATCTCCCCAAAACACACATGCAAGGTGGGAAAGGCTCCCCAGATTGCTGTCACATGCCCCCTTCCCACCCAAAAAAGAGAAGCAGAGCGTGTAAATAGTGATGTGCAAGTTGGCAGCCTTGGCAAACACAGGGAGCAGCTCAGGAAGGGAGGAGGGTTCAGTCCCTGGGGCTCCCTCAGCACCATTTACCACCTCCTGCCTCAGCTCCCTTCTCCACAAGCTTTTTCCAGTGCATTATAGCAAGAGGAATCAGAAGTTGCCCTGATTGGAGGGGCAGCTCCATCACACAGCTGTGTTTGTGTGCTGGCCCCTTCAGTGCTCTGGCTGAGCACAACAGGAAGAGGAAAAAAAACCCGAAAATCCCACCAAAATCTGCTCCCAGCACTTCTTCTGCAAACCCTGTAACTGCCAAACACCCATCTGGAGCAGCAGCAGCTCAGAAAGCCTGTTTCACTTTGCTGTTTCATTAGGGGAGAGTATATGGGAGCTTAAAAAAAAATTCACCTGTTGCAAACATTGTAGGACAAGTAGCAAACAATTTGCTGGAGCACGGCAGCCACCATAAAATCAGCTTTTATATTGTCTGTCGTGGCCCCAAATTTGCAACTACGTTGTTGATAGCAACAAATAAATGCACTGCAGTGTAACTATTATCTGTGGCAGATTAACATGCTACCACTGTGCCCTATTTAAATGCATCTTTCCTTCAATAAACTATTCTGGGCGAGCAGCACCACACTGAGGTACACATTTATCAGCCAGGAGAGCAGCACTGTGGGGGCCTTGGTTCACACAGCTGCAGTTTTGTGCTTCATTTGGCCCAAAGCCGTGATGAACAGCAACTCTGGTGCCTGCTGGTGCTGTATAAAAAAAAAAAAAATCTAAAAAAAAAAAAAAATCTGAGGAATGTAGTGTTTTGCTGTGCAAGGGAAAAAAAAGGCAGTGCATCAATGGATGTGCTTCCAAGTATGAAAAAATAGAAGTGAAATAGTCCCCCCCTCCCCATCCCTATCTCAGCAGTGAGTAACTTGCTCATAGGAGGTGCAGATGAGTGGAAACCTATTGCTAAATGCAATGGTCTGGAATGCAGAGTAGTGAAGTGCAGGTGAACATACAGTGTGTTGCATTTAATCTCATTTTCTACAATCTCCCAGTCTCATTCCCCCAGCCCTTCCCCTCTCCCCATGAAATTTTAGATACCAGGTACACCTTCCAAAGACAGTTTCCAGGATACATTTAATAATAAAACAGCAGTAAATAGCAACCCTAGGTTTCCCCTCAGGTTTTTTTTTCCTTCAGCCCCCTCCCTTTTTACCCCCTTCTACCTAGCAGGACTCTGAATAGTAATAAAACCCCTCTTTTCTTACTACTCAGCAATAAAGAGGGCAATTTTCTGCCTCAGCTTGGTCTCCCACGATTGCACAGTACTCACTACACATGGAACAGACTCAGCTCACAAATGGCACGACGGGGTGATCTCCTGAACACCAGAAAAATGGGAGAGAGACAACTGTCCCTTGTCAGGGTGGGAGTGAAGCTCCATCTCCGCGTGGTTGATGAGGGCTATTTTGTTTTATGCAATCCCAAATTGCTCTCTCTAGGAATTGCCCAGACAACTGCTACCCAGTTCCTTGCGAGTACCACAGAGAGAGAGGAGGATTGCCTCGCTAGTTCTGTAAGGGAAGGTGATTTAGAGCAGTCACTCAGCTTTTATGGCACAAAGAAAGACACTGGTTAAAAGTTGGGGGTGCAGGAGATGTGGCATAAGGAGGTGAGAAGGTTTATGGAGTGACCAGTCACTTAGCAAGGAACCAATTCTCCAAGGGATGGATCCCTTCCCTTGCGCTCGTTCTATTTCGTATGGATTTTATATAAAAAAGGAAGAAGAAAAAGCAGACCACCACCACCACAACAGCTATTTTGTTTCTAAACACAAAACATGATGGCCTCTATGCCAGATCCCCTTCGGTTATGGCAGAGTCTTCCTGAAGGCTTGACGCTTGTTCCTGCTGGATTGCAGGGAGGCTGGAAGAATGTCTGCTGCCAGGAGAGGCTTTGCTTACAGCCATGCCTTTAAGGGGTGGAGTATCTTCTCAGGTGGTAACTGTAGATCTTAATGCAATGATCCCAACAGTCCAGCACCAGGAGCTGCCCTTTGGGAGTGATGGCAATACCGACCGGGCAGGTGAGTCCTTCCCGGATCAGGATGTTATAGCCACCTCCCTTAGGGAAATGCAGGATTTCTTTACGGCTGCTGTCAGCAACAATGAGGTCTCCCCTGGCATCGACACACATCCCAGCAATGCACCTGAAATCCTCATTCTCCGAGAAGAAGTGGCTGATCTGCCGCCCCAGCTGCCCGTCGGGGCCGACGGAGCCGATGGAAAAGCCTCCTTCTAGATGGTGCTCGTACTGCCGGTTCTCCAGGTTGAGCCCCAGCCCCTGAGTGAAGTAAATGGTCCCTTCGGCGTCGCAGGTGACAAACTTGGGGCGCACCGCGCTACACAAGCAGCTGTACTTCACCACCCCCACGCCACGGTCCACCGTGAAGCACCAGAGCTTCCCCCCTTCCACGTCGGTGACCACGAACTGCCCCGAGGGCAGCGCGGCGATGCCCCAGGGCTTGCTCAGCTGGCTCCGGTGACAGGCCACGCAGTGCCCGTCCATGGTGTACACCTTGACAGAGTTATCATAGCTGTCTGTCACCCCGATCAGGCCGTGGCAGTTCATGGTGACAGAAAGGGGAGTCAAATTGGGCAAGTCTGCTCCGAGGAAACTCAGCACGAAGCTGTCGATCCCGCTGGGGCTCCGGCGGATTTCCTTCAGAAAGCCCTTGCGGGTAAAAACCTGGATTCGGAAGTTGCCCCGGTCTGCCACGAGCACCTCGCCTTGCGTGGTGACGTGCAGGCTGACGGGGAGGTTGAACATCCCTGGCAGGCTGCCCTTGGAGCCCATCTTCTTGATGAAGTGACACTGCTGGATGCTCGTGGCTGCTTCAGGAATCCTTGGCTTGGCTGGTGAGGAATGGGGTGTGCAGCTGGGCTCTTCCTGCACCAGGTCAGGCTCCCTAAATGACACCGACGAGGATGCTGCAGTTTCCGGGAGCGACTCCTCCACGTTAACAGACCGAGGTTTCTTCACCACCTGCCCGATCTGCAGTGGTCCCACGTGGCTCACCTTCAGGAGTTCCACCTCTTGCAGAGTCAGCTCCCTTGGGAGACTGTTTGTCAGTTCTGGTTCCTCCTCGTCTGCCGCCTCCTCCAGGAGAGCTATATCCCCCTGCTTTATTTTGGCAAGGAAATAGTCACAGCGGGACATTATCTGCACTTCTGCTAAGTTCAGCAGGTAGGCTTGCTCCTCCATTACCTGGTTATTTACCTTCTCCACTTCAGACAAAGAGGTGGTGAAGAACTTGCGTGACCTGGCCAGTTCCTCCTGGATCTTGCGCTCTTCTTTGCTGTACTCCTGCAGAACTGCTTTGTACCTGGATTGCAGGTCTCTCGAAACGCCCTCCAGAGCAGCTTTTCTTTTCTGGAGATCACCCATGAGCTCCCTTAGCCTGGCAAGCCTCGTCCCAAATTCCCTCCTACGCTCTTCAGCAGCCTCTTTGATAGCAATGACTCTGTGCCCTTGGGGCAGGTGTGAAGCCTCCTTGCAGGGCTCACATAAAACCAAGCTGCAGCTCTTGCAAAAGTGCCTCGGCAACCTTCTCCCGCAGACCTTGCACATGAGGAGCCCCACCACTTCCCCCAGTCCAGCGGTGTCGATGATCTTGAGCACAGTGAGGTTGTCAGTCAGCTGAGCCAGGCTCGTGATCCGCGTGATCTTGCTGCAGAACGGGCACCGTATCCCGTTAATGCTGTTTGCCAGGAGCTTCTCCAGGCACTGTTTGCAGATGGTGTGCCCGCAGTGCAGGAGCTTGGGCCTCAGGTGCTCCTCAGTGAAGGACTCCATGCAAATGGGGCACTCCAGGACCTCTCGGAGCGCATCCGAGTTGAGATGCGGGGCGGCAGCCATGGTGTTCCCGGGCAGCTTCAGCCGGCGCCGTGTCTTGTGCTCACATCTATTCCAAGGTGCTCCAATTCTGTCCAGAAAGCAAAAAAAAAAAAAAAAAAGGAAATGTGATTTATGTCAGCACCAGCAGTTGCATATACATGCAATTTATTTCTGACTTTTATCACCCAACCCTGCAGAAAAGAAACCCAGTTGGCTTCTCCACGTTTGGGAAGGATGGATTAGTCATAGCTAATCTCGGAGTGGGCAAATTTCAAAACTAACTTGCAGCTCCCAGTGCGATGAATTATTCACTTGCAACATTTGTAAGTAGCAACTGAAAGAAGTGTAATGGCAGCAATAAGGAAGCCCAATAGATATTGATGACTGAATCATCTCCTCATGGTGCCCATCTCCTGCTGCCAAGCCTCCGAGTTTACATAATTTACTGAAACCCAGGGAGATTAAACCAAGCATTCAAAATGTTGCGCATCAAAAGAGGAACCAGATGGTGCGATGCTTTAGGACATTAATAGATCACCTCTGGAGACCTGCATTCAGATGTGACATCAGAGACGAACGAAATAAATGTGGTTGGTTCGCTCTGTTTTGCTAGAGAGCCAAAGTAAATGCTCAAGGTTTCATGCATTTGCCAGGAAGTGAAACTAGCAGGAATGCTTTGTCAGCTTCCACTCCTTGTGGGGGGTGACTGTGCACACTGAAAATGCAAAGAGAAGGTTGGATGCCAGTGCATTTCACTGCCCTCTGCCATGCTGCACCATGTTTCAACATGCCAATTAAACACTTTGTGTTTACCTTGGACAGATAAGAGCAGTAATGGGTTTAAAAGACGACTCCAAACATCCAAACTCCGAACGTACTACCAGTCAGTCCCTGAACTCAGCTTAACTGCATATAATTTCTCCTCATTTCACAGTCTTGCAGCGTTGACCTCATTCCTGTCTCCCGGTTCAGTTTTACACCACTCTGGTTGCTGTTCAGCTTCAATCCAGGTTTCTCCACCCTCCCATCCCTCCCAGCAGGGAGCAGATCCCAGCAGCTCTCCTGCCAAAGCAGCCATCCATTCAAAAGGAACAGAACAGGGCTCACATCATTAAGTTATTATTCAGTAGACTGGGTTTCAATACCTTTGCTATTGCATTGCCTTGCCACTAAAAAATAGGGAAGAAAACCTTTTTTCTAGGGGAGAGGAGGAGAAGGAAGTAGTTAGTCTTTGAAATGAAGAGAGGGTGGCAGAGGGATGTGAACAGACAGCTTTTTCTGAGTAATGGCTCAATGCACACAGCATTCTTGCTTCCCTGCTGGGTTTGCCTCCTTCCTCCTCGGGAAAGCTCCAGTGTATTTCAGTTTACCACTTTCTCAACGTGCAAGAAAACAACTGCAACAAACAAAATTTCTTTATGTTCATACAGAGAAGGGAAAAAAAAAGTCATTTAAAATTAGCAGCTGCGTCCCTTCAGAGCCCATATTTCAGGGAGGGACTCAGTGGTGTGGCAGAATCTGCAAGCACCAAGCTGGGATCTGATCCTCAGTGGTGGCAGGATGAGTATCCCTGGCATCTGGGTGCAGGAGGACTCCAGGCACTTCCTGCCACTGGCACCGAGCACGCTTCCCTTTTTGTCTTAACACACATCACAGCTGGGGAGGCAGAAGCCTGGGCACTGCCGCGGAGAACAGAAACCTTCCTTTGAGGGATGAAAAACCTGTATTTTAAAACGGTTTTTAAAAATGAAACACAGGATACCAGGCTCATTATTCCTACTTTTCTTGGAAACACGTCAAAAGGCTCGCTCAGGGAAGGACGAGGGAGCAGCACAGGCACCAGGTGCTGCGAGTTACATTGAAAGGTACCTTTAAAACAAGTATTTTCATTAAAGAACAATGGCGGAGGGGATTTTAAGTCAGGCTGGGCTTTTCAGACAGATGATTTGTACAATATTCTTCTCATACATAACCCCTTTTGTTGGAATGCCAGCTTGCCCTCGGTAACGTGACATTATTTCTCCCTTTATCTCCCTCTCGCACTCGGCTGTGCCTGCATGGAAGTTTCCTTAACAGCAAGTTGTTCTTGCGTATCGGTCCCTCCCAAGGCAGTTCCTCTGACGCAGAGCAGGGTATTACAGAAAGCCTCAGCTGAGGATCAAGCTATAAAACTCGGTGAATTATGCCAGTTTGGTTTCCTTACACGCTCAAAGGAAATTTCCTGCCGTGGTTTGGTAGCTTTTTAGCGAGCGCGTCTGCGGGCGAGGCGACCGGGCTTCACTCGCAGTTCAGATCCCGTGCCCTTAACGAGTGAGAATAACGGGGTAACACTGCAAAATCCACGCTGCTGACAGCAGCTGTCACAGCAACAACAGCAGCAACAACAAACCCCGCAGGACAGACAGACCCACAGGGTGTGGGTTTTGCACAGACAATGCAAAGGTTTGGGTTGGAAGGGACCGTAAGGATCACCCCGTTCCACCCCCTGCCACGGGCAGGGACACCTTCCCCATAGACCCGGTCGCTCCAAGCCTCGTCCAGCCTGGAATCGGGCGCTCCCAGGGATGGCGCATCCATGGGATAACCCGTGCTGGTGTCTGACCACGCCGTGCTCGGGGCGCACGTCCAGGCTCCGTCTGGGCGCACCGGGGCGATCCCATGGGATGATCAATGGGGGTCCGCTGCGAGCACCCTCCGGGTGCCCGAGGGGGGCTCGGCGGGGCGGACCCCGCTCTCCTTCCCTCCCTTCCTCTCTCCCTCCCTCCCAGCGCGGCCGGGAGCGCCCACCCGGCGGGGCCCATCCCGTCCCTGCCCTCCCACCCCGTCCCGTCCATCCCATTCCCGTCCCGTTCCCGTCCCGGGGGTCCCGCCGTGCCCGGCCCCGCCCGCAGGGGGCGCCGCGGCCCCGGGCGCGCGCCCCTGCCCTCACCTGCCGCCGCCCGGGCCGCGCCGCTCCCGGCGTGCCCCGCGCGCTCACGTGAGCGCCGCGCCCGCCGCCGCGGGGGCTGCTGGGAGGTGTAGTCCCGAGGCGGGGGGGAGACAGGGAATGGCGGCGTGGGGGGGGGGTATCGCGGGATGGGAGCCTGTGCTGCAGCTCCTTCTGGCGAGAAAGGTTGACGTTAAAAAGAAGGCGAACGGAAACGTGTTTGCTTCGTTTTTCTCGGTTTAGCGTGTGCTGGTTTGGAACGCGCGGGTTGTGCGCTGCCCTTTGCCTGGTCAGGCAGTGCTGCTGCGGGAGCAGCCCCTTCCCCCTTCTCTTGTTCTTTTTTTTCCCCTTCCCTATTCCTTTCTCCTTTTCTTTCCCATTCTCTTTTCGTTTTCCTTCACTTTTCCCTTCTTCTTTCATTTCCCTTCCTTTCTTCTTTCTTTCCCCCTTTTCCTCCTTTTTCCCCTTTCTCCCTTTTCCTTTCCTTTTCCTTCCCTTTTCCCTTCCCTTCCCCCAGCAGAGTCTGGGCGTTTGATCCGTTGTGCATCATCTATTGAAAAGGTGTATTTTTCTCATTCCATACCCTGTGCTGGGGCAGCCCATCGGCTCCAGGACAGAAAGGACTGGTTTTGGGTTCAGAACAGCAGTTGTGAGCAGTTGACAGGGTGATGTTCTGGGGTATCCACACCGTGGCTGATTTTAATCATCTTCATGGAGTCCCCCAGTTCTGCACCGGTTTGTGGGGAACCAGCCAGTTAAGGGGTTCACCCTTGATCACAAGGTTATGTTGCCTGGTCATTCCACTCTCCTGCTCCCTCCTGGGAGGTACTAAAGGATTGCAGCTGCATTACACCTGCACAGGGCTGATCACCAGAGTCATTAATCATGGATTAGTCATTTCCCTCCTGCCTCATCTCTCTTTCTCCTCCTCATCCCTCCACCCTTTATTTCTGACCCATCTGCCAGGCTGGCAGTGGTAGCCAGAGGTAGGTTTTGGCCACTGGATCATGGCTGTGCTCTGTCTGGTGTTTCATAGAATCCTAAAATATGCTGAGTTGGAAGGGACCCTCCATGTCCTGGAGTCACTAACACCAATACCATTCCAGCCACATTTTTGCTCAGCCATTGTGACCTGCTTTAGGGATGGCAGAGAGACAGCCCTTTTACTGTGACCCCGTGGGGCTGCACAGCAGGACAGGGAATGTCATGGCTTGGGGCTTCCTCTGTGGGAGCAGGGAGAACCCCAGGCAGGTGCAGGGGCACCATGTCCTTCACACACCAGCGGCATCACTGTTCCCAGTGGCATCCAGGCACTGTCCCGTGATCAGCCCAGGGCTGATGTGCAGGTGGAGGCCCCGACTCAGAGGAATTCACTGCCTGGAGAAGGAGGCAAATCCTTGGTTTAACCATTTCCCAAAAACCCTTCGTGTGGCCTCTCTGCCTGCAGCACTTTTCCACTGCTTACCCGCTCCAGCCAGCACTGAAGAAAGCAACTTGCATAATGCACCAAGTCTTGCCACCTTTTGTTCTTGGCAGGTTTTTTCTACTTTATTTAGAATAGAATAGTTCAGTCTGAAGGGACCTACATCCCAACAGCAATGAGGAGCAGCAGGGATCACCAAATGTGGGCAGGGGACACGCTCAGAGGCAGTGGAGCAGATGCAAAGCCTGACCAGGGTTGCAAAAGAAAATGAGTGAGATTTACAGTTCCCCTGTTTCAGGCACCAGTGGATCCCTGGAGGTGTTGCTGTGCCCAGGGAGGGGGCACAGGGTTCACTCCTGACTTCTTGCCTCACCAGGGAAATGTTCTTTCAGCCCCCAGTGTATTTTCCAGTGAAAAAAAAAAGGATGTAAACATTGAACCAGGGTGGTCTGCAAGATTTTTTGAGGCTACCCACACCTGAAAGTGAACAGTGTGAGGAAAAAACGGTGGTAGGAATAGGAAATAATCTTTCAGTGCATCCTGGGGAAAAAACAAAGAGCTCTCTAGACTTGATTAGAGGTGATAATGATGAGTCAGTGATGTTACTCAGCATGTGGGGGTGTGGGGACCTCATGCCATGACACTGAAGGATGGGAAGGCCATCCAGCCTGGAACCCCGAGGGGCTGCCCCACACCAGCAGCCAGCCATCCAGCAGGCAGTCTTGGGAAGATCTCAGCCATCCCATGGGAAAGGGGCATGCGGATGTGTTGGAGCAGGGAGGGAACCAGCTGCCTTGGGGGGGGTCTTGGGGGGTCATGGAGCCATCCTTGAGGGACTGTAGTGTCTCAGAGGCAATGGGGTGAGCACTGAGATGCTGCCAGGGGTCAGATGAGCAGGGCAGGGCTTGGTTGCTCTTCCTAGGAGCCACTGCAGGCAGTGGAGGGGCAGTGGGGAAAGTGCAGGGTCAGCAGAACCAGTTCCTTTGCCAAAGCAATCTCATAGGGGATGCCTGCACCATTCCCTTTTAGAGAGGTTTATCAGACGTCTCTAGAAGCTCTTCTGGCATTTTTTCTTAATACTTCAGGCTTGCAAGTGTGTAAATGTCTCATCTGAAGCTGAGGTGAGATCCTGCCTATCTAGCCTGTGGGGAGCCAAGATGATCTGCCTCTGGATGCTCCCTGCTGGTACCTTTGGGATCATCCTCAGGGCTGAGGGGCTACACTGAAGGCAGGGGAGGGGGGGCGGTGGGTCATGGGAGCACTGTGGTGTGGCTCCTTGGCCAGTCCTTGATGTTGGGTGTCAGGGTGCAGCGTTTTGTGTTTAATTGAGTTTGGTTAATTGGCTGTGAGCTGTGGGCAAAACATCATCAGGGAAAGGGGGGTGTGCAGCAGGGCAGGGGCAGGCTGGCAGTGTGGAGATGAGGGGGCTCTTCCTCAGGAGCTGTAGTGATAGAAAAACGAGTAATGGGTACAAATTGAAGGAAATTTAGGTTAGATATTAGGAAGAAATCCTTCCCTGTGAGGGTGGTGAAGCCCTGGCACAGGTTGCCTGGAGAAGCTGTGGCTACCCCATCCCTGGAAGTGTTCAAGGACAGGTTGGATGAGGTTTGGAGCAGCCTGGACTAGTGAAAGGTGTCCCTGCCCATGGCAGGAGGGTTGGGACTTTAGGATGATCCTTAAAGTCCATTTCAACCCCTGAACATTCTGTAAGCAGGAGACGAAAAGGGGTCACAAACCCTCACGCTCGGGAGGTTATCAAGTGTCGTGACTCAGGGACGTTACACGATCGGGCTGCCACACTCCTTTTCCCGAGGCGCGGGTGGATGGGATGAGGATGGCAGGATGAGATCCCGAGGCGTCCCGGCGGAGCGGCCGCGGGGTGCGTGCGGCAGGGAAGCGATGCCGGGATGTGCCGCATCCCGGGATCTCAGCGCGGTCCTGCCGCGGTGCCACGAGAGGGCAGCAGGGCCTCACGGACCGCCACGGCCACAACTGTCCCGCCGTGACCGGGACCCCGCGTCCCCCCCGTCGGCGGAGGGTCCCACGGGCTGCGCATTGTGGGGTCCGCACTCGCAGCCTGCATCCCTCCGGCCACGCTGAACCCGTGCCTTCGCCCAGGGGATGTCATTCCCACGTGGGATGCCGTGCCACGGGATGGCTGCGTGTCCCAAAAGTTGGGTAGTGGTTCCCTGGGGAGCCCTTCCTTGCCCACGTGTGAGCCCCGGGATGTGGGTGTTGGTGGCTGCTTGGAGGTCCCAGCAGCAGGGGCTGATGCTGTGCTTCAAGGAATCAGAGACTGGTTTGGGATGGAAGGGACTTTAAAGCTCATCTCATTCCACTCCCTGTCATGGGCAGGGACACCTTCCACTAGCCCAGGTTGCTCCAAGCCCCATCCAACCTGGCCTTGGACACTTCCAGGGATGGAGCAGCCACAGCTTCTCTGGGCAACCTGTGCCAGGGCCTCCCCACCCTCACAGGGAAGGATTTCTTCCTAACATCTAATCTAAATCTGCCCTCTGTGAGCCATTCCCTCTTGTCCTGTGCTATCCTTCTCACACACATGGATGCATGTGACAGAGAAGCACTGCTGACTCCCTCCTTTCTCCCAGCAGTGTTTGCCCATCACTAACAGTGGGCAGCACTAAATCTGTTCGGGCTCTTCGCAGACCTGGTGGTGACTGCACTGACAATACCTCAGTGCAAGAGAAATTCTCAGGAAAACACATCTATTGATTTTCTTTTCAACTCCCTTTCGATGGATTTGCCAACAAACAGGGTATTATTCCACCAGGTGATAAACAGTGGATGTGTCCTGGCTGTAAGCCCCCACTACCCTGCCCATGGTGGCACTGGGTCTGTCCAGTGGAGGGTGGGGTACAGGGAAGGTGGACCAGAATTCCCTCTTCTGTAAAATGCAAACCCCAAGTCCTAAGTCAACCTGGCTGAGCAGCTCATTGGTGTTGGTGGGGTTAACCTGGTGAGCCTGGAGGAACCCCTACCTGGGTCAGTTCCTGATGTTCCTTTTACAGCTTCAGCTGGAGAGCGTTCTCTCCTTGTTCCCAGCATTTCTGCTTTTGAAGAGCTACCACATCCTACCCCTGAGGTGGCTGCATTCTTGTGGGAAGTGGAGTGATTCCCAGTTTTGGAATGACTTGGGAATCTTCTGGAAGAGGTGCTGTATAAAATGCCAGACCACTAGCAAACCCAGTGTCTCCTGAGAGCTCTCAAGACCAAAGAGCACTGCAGTGCAAAGGAATTAGGTATTATGCTGTTGCTGTTGTTATAGCAGTGGTGTTATCATGCTCCCCTCTTGTCCAGGCACCAGGAGGTGCTGCTGGTAATGCTGGAAGTGTTTCCCACATCAGCAACTGCTGCATCCTAAGCAGGGACCCCTGTGTGCAGTCAGTCACCTCGTGCTGTGGGATTATAAGATCCCGATGAAGCCTAGAGACAGAGCCAGGCACCCCAACAGGCAAATGCTACCTCTGCACACCCTGTGCTGCTCATCCTCCCTTTCTTACGCAAGGCCTGACGCCTGGGCACAAGGCTGCTATTTAATTTATTTTGTTGTGGTGTTGTTTTTTTGGTGGTTTTTTTTTCTCCCCAAATACATATTCGAGATAAACAAACTAATAACTCCCACAAGTTGCCGTGGCGCGTCTGACCACATCCGCAGCGCTCTGCTCCCAGACAGATGTTGCCAGCATTCAGCTGAGTTGCCAGCAGTGTTAGCAAAAGCATGTTCAGATTCAGGGGTTGATAAGGACTGCCTATATCCTCCCTGCTGCAGCCCCTGCAGCTGAGCCTCATCCTCCTGCCATAATGGGACCTTTGGAGCGCCCTCGCAGTGGTCACCTGCAAAGCCCTTCCCCAGGAGTGAAGCTTTGCAGGAGTAATCAGAGTGCCCTGGGAGGTTATCCTGTTCTGTATAGGTAATAAAAGCCAGGCTGAGCCTCCAGGAAAATGTGGTTTCCTCGGTTCACTGTCAGGTTTGCAATGGGGAGAGTGGGCTCCATCCTGAGCCCACTCCTTGCATGCAGGTGGCTGAGGACATAACCAGAACTCATCTCAGAGGTAGGAGAGAGGGAGACAGAGGGACCTTAATCCCTTCTTCCCAGGCTGTAGTTGCAGTGGCAGGTCCAGGAATATGTTTTGGAGGCAAAATACCTCTCAGATTTGAGTAACTCCTCTGTGAGATGCCACAAGTGGTGGGTGGTGTGGGTGGGACAAGACAGAAGCACCATCTCTGTTGAGGAAATCTTCAGCTTTCTAGGGATGAAACACCTTGAGCTGATGCTTTCCACCCCTTGAGCAAGCAGATGAGGGAGAGTGGTCTATAATTCTTTGTTATAGAGCCAATAATTCAGGAAGGAAGGCTTGATATCCTAGAGCCAATCATGAGATAACTGATTCCACTGTCTTTTCAGCTCTGTGTTCATGTCCTTCCTTAAAGCATGGCTCTAAAAATTTCTTCCCCATGGAGGGTCTCTGAAATCGCTGCTTCAGCTCTTGTGAAGAAGCTTTGCAGCCCAGAATTGTAATTAACTTCTTTCTTTTGTACAGTACTGATGTTAAAAAAAAAAGTTACTCTTGTGCAGAAGCGAGAAGAGGCTCATGGTATCTCCCTGTAATTTCCTTCTTTGTGAGCCACTCAGTTTTTTAAGGTTTCAAGGCTTTCCCTTGTGAGACTTGAAGTTGCCTGGAGCTGGTCTTCTAGAAAATAATCTCTCCATAACCAGCTCCAACTCCTATTTTCCATGTCTGTGCACACCAATGTCTCCCTAGATGTTGAGACATCTCACAACCTTGTTTTAATTTATCTTAGCAACTGCTCCCCTTTTATTCCGCTAAAAGATGAGTTGGTTGGAATTTGCTCATTCTTCCTGTGACAGCTTTGATCCTGTGCACAGAAGTGTTCCCTGACAGCCAGACAGCAGGGAAGGGCTGTCCCTACCCTGGAGGGCTCTGGGAGTCATGAATGAATATTGTGTTTATTTGTATTTCTAACTGACTAGTGCCTTGCCAGATCAGCTGCATGTCCCTGCAAGCACAGGGTATTGAGACATCCCTTGTTCCTCTTCAGCTCCTTCTTGGGACTGGGAATTTGTTGTTGGAGGCAACAGCCATCCAGCTCATGGTGTTGGGCACAGAATGAAGAAAAGCTTTTCTTCTGTAGATGTGACACCAGGGTATGGAATTTGGGCCTTCTTAGATCAACCCATCTGTAGACAAAGCATTTAAATTGGAATTTAAATTGTGGAGGGCAGAGATGGGAGTCGTGTCTCCTTCGCTCAGGGTATCACCAGGGGTGATACTTCCCTTGTCCTTAGCAAGTGTTTGGACAGACACAGAGCGAAGCAAAGGCTCTCCAGTTTTGTCTCCCTGTGCTGAAGACCACCAGGAGGTTTCACAGGGGGTTTCAAAGGCCTGATTGTTTCCTTGAGGCAGAGTGTTGATAGTTTGGATTTGGTAATGCCTTCATCTGTGTGGTGAGCTTGTTCCCATACCTGCTTATCCCCCCTGCCAAGGGCTTCATCCCTCCATGCTCCCTCTTTGCAGCCTCTTTGGGTCCTTCCCAGCGCCATGGATAGTGTGTCACTCAAAAGAGCGACCTAAGGACCACAGAGGCTAGAGGGGGCTGGCATTGGGGTGAGGGTGAAGGCACTCAGCTCTTCAGCCTGGTCCCTTTGGGAAGGTTTCTCTTTGACAGTGAAGATAATATTGGGGTGGTTTTGTTTCATTTTGGAGCACATAAAGTGAACATGCAAGTTAGAAAAGAGAAGACTGGGAACACAACTTAGAAAAGAGAAGAAGAACATGATAAGTTCTGTCACTCTAGAAGTGCTCTAGAGTGGAAATACTCACACTTCCAACCAATGACATGAAAGTCCTGTTTTTCTCCTTCTCTCCTCAACCTTTCTTGTTTCCTGCTCCCACCTGGCCTAAACCTTCAGCAGCTGCATTTATCCTGACTGCAGCAAGGTTTGGGTTTGGGAAGAGGACCGTGCCGAGATCTATTTAATGTTGTTTGGTTTCTTCCCTCTCCCTACACCAGAAACAACTGAGCTTGGGAACAAGAAGGAGCTGAAATCCATGCCCTTCATCACGTACCTGTCAGGCCTGCTGACGGCACAGATGCTGTCTGATGACCACCTCATCTCCGGTGTGGAGATTCACTGCGAGGAGAAAGGGCGCTGCCCCTCCACCTGCCACCTGTGCCGGCGCCCCGGGAAGGAGCAGCTCAGCCCCACACCGGTTCTGCTGGAGATCAACAGGGTGGTGCCTCTGTACGCCCTGATCCAGGAGAACGACACCAGGGAGGTGAGTGAGCCAGAGAGGGACCAGCCCCACCTCTGTGATCCTCTCAGCCCCCTCTCCAGTCGCTGCAGGAATGTTGGGTTCCCTGGGGTGAGGTGGTGTTTTGGTGTGTGTGTTTGGAGGGGGGATGCAGCGGGATGGTTTCAGGGATGGAGCTGGCAGGTCCTGCTGCACACCACCCACAGCCCTCTCAGACCTGCATCTCCCTGCCTTTGGTACAGTGAAGGCAATGCCATAAGCAGCCAAGGCCACATTCATTCCCAGTGTCTACCAGTGTGCAGGATGTGTCCTGTGGAGGGGTCTCAGGAGCCAGGCATCGGCTCAGTCCTTCCCTCCTGGCTCTGAGATCTCGGATGTACCTGTGTGAGGGGTGGCCAAAGCCCTGCAGGGCTCAACCATGGCTTTTCAAAGCACCTCTGCAGAGAGAGTGAACAACCAGTCCTCTGGGACAGTCCCACAGCCACAGGAGGTCACTGTTACTCCAGGAGGGGCCAGCCAGGCTGGAGGCCACCCGTCCCTGGGGCTGGACTTCTGCAAGAGCTTCAGTGTTAATCCTATGGAGATTGATTTTCCTCTTTCTCGGTTCGTTGCCACCTCTACCCCCCTCTGCAGCCCTCTGACCTCAATCTTGAGTCCAAAAATGACAGACCTGCTTAAAGTCACTTATTAACACTGAGCCTGCACTTGATTAGGATGCCTGGAGTGAGCCAGTGCTCAGCAGCTGTGGGTGGGATGCAGAGGGCTGCAGGTCAGGAAACAATCCTGGCACATGGAGGTGTGACCACCAGGAATGATGCTTCATCCTCTTCCCAGATCCACAGGCAGAAGAGCCCCCATGCTTCTCCTGGCACCCAAATCCCTTATGGGCACTGTCCCTCCTTGTTTACCTCCTGATCTTCTTCCTGCTTTCCCATGTATCAGGCCACTTGGTTCTTCCATGCAACCGTGCCTGACTTCCATACCTCAGTTCCCCTGTCTTTTCAGCTCTTTCCCCCCAAACTCCCTTTCTCTCACTATTTTTAATTCCTGCATTCTTTCCCCACCTATGCCTGCTCTTCCCCGTGGGCAATCCTTGTGTAGACATTGACCTGCTGTTATCAGCATGTCCAGGGCAGTGCTGGGATGAGGCATCATGGGTACAGGGAGAGCAGTGGGAAAGCTGGTTTCCTTCAAGCAAGAAAGATGCGCTTCCCAGCAGCAATCTGCAGGAAGACATTCCTTTTGGGATACAAGAGATAGGTTAGCCAGCGGGGAAGGGGTAACTGTGAAAGCAAGCAGGATCTGGAGGATCTCCATGGACACTGTTCATCACCAGGTAGCAATGCTGTCCTGTCTCTCTGGTCCTGGCTGCACAAGGTCCCCTCCTCCTCCTCTTCCTCACCTGTCCCCTCAGCCCTGCCAATGCTGCCGTGCTCACTTGGGGTGCATCCTTGTCCTGGGGAGCTGGAGCCTGCGTTTCACCAGCAGCAGCCTCCCTCCCTCCCTCCCTCCCTCCCTGCTCCCCTGGCTCCTGCAGGGGCTGGCCCCTTCAGCTGCAGCTGGAGCACAGCCTGCATTGTGCTCTCTGCTGAGGCGCCGGGAAAACCGGCAAACAAACACGCAAACAAACACAACCCCAACGAGGCAACAAACCAGAGACACCCCAGACATCTTCCAGGGGGCTGTGCTCCATGCATCCCTCCTCCTCCTCCTCTGCTTCCACCTGCTCACCCAGGGGTGGAGGGGCCTGTCTGTGTAAGGGTGTGTGTGACTCTGCTCTCCCTTCACCCCAGGGAGCTGTTGATCAGCAGTGCTGGGGTTAGAGGTGACAGGGCGAGGGATTTGGGTGGCTGCAGGATGGAGGATGCTACCAGAGGGGATGCCCAGGGGACACTGGGAGCTGGCAGTGAGCAGCACATGCCAGGACAGATCACCTTTTCCATCCACAGCAGAGGGTTCTGAGGTGGGTGGGTTCACACTGTCTTCTCTGACCACCACCCCCCAGCTGGACTGGGTCTTGTTTTGGCTGTGGGCTTCTCTTGACAGCAGGCCCTCTCATTCTCCTTCTCCCCACAACCCATCTGAGACCATCCAAATCCTTGCTGCAGCAGGATACAGGGAGTGCTTTTTGCATTTCCTAACCATTCCCATTCCCTTAGCATGAAACCCTTGTGCTGCATCAATTCCAGAACTCTCCTTTCCCCTTCTTGTTCACTTCTGATCCACTGTCCTGCTCCCTCAATCCCTTCCTCCTCAACTTGCTTCTTGCCCTTCTCTCCACCACCCTCTCTCCTGCGGGATTTTTATTCTCTCCCTCTCCCCCTGCTGCCCATGTCCCTGTGGGCAGGGATGAGTCCAGGTGCCTGGGGGCTGTGTCACACCACTGCTGAGGTGCCACCACGGCACAAACCTTGGCTCTTGGCACCGGAGGTTTTGCCGAGCTGGGCAGAACTGTGCCTGCCTCTCTGGAGGACGTGGAGCTGATGGGGGCCACGTCCCTGCCCTAGAGAGGGGGATTGGTGTGGGGTTAGTGCTATCTGTATGAGAATATGTCCCCATCCTCTTGTGACATTGTGAGCTCAGTGACAAGGGGTTCCCATAGGGGCAGGAATGTGCCTTCCCCTCATCTTCCTCCACAGGTCTGAAGGCAGGGAGGGTGATCATGAAAGGGAAAGGGGTTTAGAGGTGTTGGGGAGCTGCAACCACCACGGGGCCATCACCCTGTCACCAAAACCCAGCAGTGTGCCCTGGTGCCCTGGAAAGCCACCAGTTTAACCATGACCTCTTGCTCTGCACTCTGGGAGAGGCTCCCTCAGGGTGGGTGCCATCAGGAGCATCTCAGGTACCATCTGGATGATGAAATGTCCTTTTTCAGCACCAAGTAGGAGGCCAGGGCGATCCCAGGCACTGCAGAGTGGTGTTCACCCATGGCATAAACATGATTTGCAGATGCCTGGGCTAAGCCAAGGCATCTCCAAGCACAGCCTCCACAGCAGAGCTCTCCTCTGCCTGCCTTTCACTGCTGGGGTGTTTGATCCTCAATCAATACAGCAAGTGCTGGCTTCCTGGGAACTGCAGGCACATTCCAATTCCCGTGTAGTATTAAAAAATTAATAATTGTAAACAGTGAAGCTCTTCCTCTCTGCATACATGTCCACATAGTTAATGCTGTATGTGTACAGAGAGAAAGCGAGGTCATTAATGAGGTGGATATTAACTTCTATAAAGTTGGCTGAAAGGTTTTGCTGTATAAGCCCAGCAGCAGATATGAGGCAAGACACAGGTAAAGACGTTTTGCCCTCTTCAGTATGTGTATTTTTTTTTTCAGTAGGTTTGTCTTTTCATCTGCCTCAGAGCAGTGAGTTACACACTTCCTAAAATTTACAGCTACCACCCCGTCCAAGGCCATGTTCTCGGTTGCTGATGACCTTGCCAGACTCTTAAGTGCTGGGGTTTAAGTTTCCACACTGGGTGTCTGCCTTGGGCTGATTTGTGATTTTTCTTTGTGTGCATGTTTGATTTCAGCTAAAACTGACCGTTTCCAAGGGAGAGATTAGGTGAAAATATATTACTTTGCCCACGTGAAATAAGTTGGAAAACTCTTTATTTCCATGTCATTGGGAATTGCTGTTTTCTTCTTGCTTTGAAGCAAGAACTTGAAATTTAAAGGACTTAAGGAGGTTTTTTGCTGCCCAGGGAGCATTTGTCCTGAGGCATTTGTACTGTGAGTTCAAGGAAACTCTCAGCTGTGTGTGATCTGTCCTCCCAGCCCAGCTCCAGCACCACTCCTGCTCCCAGCAGTGGGGAGGAGCAGTGTATCAGGGCCCTCTTTTCCTTCTTGGATGTGATGAAAACTACAGATTGAGCCCCTGCTGGGAGTTTCTTTTGTTTCTCCCTGTGGTTTAATGTGTTCATTCATCAGAGAACTTGCCTAGTCACTGATAGCCTCAGCCTGGCTGGGGACTGTGGCAGTGCTGGGCAAAGAGTTTCCCAGGTTCAAGAAGATGTGTTTGAAGGTCTAAGCACCTTTGAAGGGTTTTGTTGAATGTCTTTTTCATAGTTGTTACAAATGATGTGTCTGTGGGTGGAAGGTTTCACAGCAAGGACTGCTTGCTGGAGCAGAGGCAGTGCTGGATTCTTCTCTGCACTGGTCCCCATCAGCTGGTGACATTCAGCTAGTCCAGATAAGTTTATAGCACCATTGCTGTCGTAGCTCCATTGCTCCTCAGTCTTGAATGCTCACACTGTGAGTTTAAAAGGTGTGAAGATCCAGGGAAGCTGTGACCTTGGCTTCGCCTTCCAGGGTCTTTTCTGGATGTCTCTGGAACCTGCATCACGTTTTGATCTACGCCAGTGTCCTAACGTCTCCCTTCTGCTTCCTTTGTGTTCTGCAGCAGTGCAGACCCCAGAGTGGTCCCTCTATTGCTGTGTGCAGGTGAAGCTGGAGGAGTTTCTCCGCTGCAAGGCTGTGGAAGAAACCTCCACCAGTGTCAGTGGCTGGCCAGGACCAACAGCAAAGAGTTTCTGTCTGTGGTGGGGCTTTCTGCTGGCAAAATGCCCCCCAACACCTCAAGGGTGGGATGTTGTTGAGTGCATGTGGTGTGACAGAAAAGAGATGTGGTGACCCTGGGTGCTTTCCCTCTAATGAACATCCTGGAGATGTTCACTAGAAGAGTGAACACTAGAAGAATGCTCCTCCTGCCCTCACCCTGTGCCATGGGGTAGGAAACATCCTTCTTAATGCCCAGCACAGCCCTGGAGTCCACGCAGAGGCACAGGCTGAGACAGGGAGATCCCAGGTTTCTGCAAACTTCCTTGACCCTTGACTGGGCTGCAGGAAGGCAAGAGGCCCTAGGAAGAGCAGGCATGTCCTGTTTCCCCATCCCTCCCAAGAGCACCTTTGACAGGGATGCTCATGTGCATGGCTGGAGCCACAGGGCAGCTGTGGCCAGTGGAGGGGAGAAAGGGGAAGGCATGTTGAGCAGTGTGGTCCCTCCTGTTTTTGCTGTTTGTTTTCCCCCCAA